CCAAAATTGTTAGTACGGAAACGGTAGCAACACATGCACACAAGATGTGCGTTAAACAACGCCCGCTTGACTTTGACTTTCGGGGCATGTTGTATTCGGTATTGATTATAACTAGTTATTTTGCAAATAAACTATAATTTATGACATAGGTAGTTTAATTGCTTTAGTTGCTAATAAGTCTTATTCACTGGACAAAGTTACATTTGAATCTGACATAAATCTAAATCTATGTAGGATAATAACCTGGCTAAATGACAATAATCTTAAAATTAATTTAGATAAATTGTCATTCAACAAAGAACAAAACAACGAAAACTTAATCTTTATATATAAAAATGACATGTCACATTGTTCGTCCGCGATGCACTCCTAAGCTACTGAGCTGATTTCAATGAAATTTTGCACTCCGTGTGCATTTTGTTTCAACTTGAGAGATAGGATAGTTTTTATCCCGGTAAAAGACCCTCAAAATGTTTTATTGCGAATTTAAGGATTTTTATAGGAAGGGTCGTTGGAAAGGGCAGAACAACGTCTGCCTGGCGAGCTAGTATTCACTATAAAACTAAAATTATAAATGAAAAAGAACACACAAAATTTCTGAGACTTTGGTTGGACGAAAAAATTACATAGAGCACGGAGTAAACATATTGAACACATGAAAAAAAGATAAATCATTACCACTTTATACTACATAACCTTATAAAAAGTAAAAATCGTGAGACAGTCATAACCGCCTACCATGCATACATCTCTTCATTATTGAGATTTTATAATATTTTGGGAAACTCCCCAGTTATCAGAACGGGAAGTAATAACAAAATAATAAATGATTTTATTTTATTTCAGGTTTAAACAAATTGCTGTGTATGTGGAAACTGATGAAACTAATTCCTCGAGGGCGTCCAAATGAGGACGAAACACAGCTTTTTACCGCACATATGTGTGACAGAACAATCTTAGCGGACAGTTCCCCTTCCCGAGCAGCTAAGGTCCGCTCTCTGCTCGGGAAGAGCTCTTTGCTCAACCCGCGTCTCGCCCTGCACCACACCGCACGATTGCCCCGTCTAGTCTAGACGCCTTCGATGATTGACTGTTAGTAGTAGTAATTAGACTATGCCTTTACAGAGAAGAAACGAATGAGGAATAGGCATTTTTAAAATAAATAGTAAAAAATAAAAATTTAGTAAATTTTTCCTTAAATACGGCAAACCAGACTGTGACATACGGCAACTGAAATTACGATATTTATACGATTTTTCTTGGCCTAAAGGTCTAGATACCAGGCCATAAACTCCAAAAATAAAAAAATATACGATTTTTACGATGGCAGCACTGCACAATATCATTCTAAATCAGTGTTTCCATATATGCACATTTCTCCGTATTTATACAGATTTTTGTATAAATACAGATTAGCATTGAATACAGATTTTTATACAGAGTTTTCTAACTCTACTGATTAAATTACCATAATATTCAACTTAAAACAGAATGAAGCAAAATATATGACTAGATACCGCCTAGCACATATTATGCATGATTAGTACTCGGTCCAAAGATGTTTTGACCTATAAAACATCTTTGACTCGGTCATTTTAAAAATCGCTCCGTACTAGTTCATTACGGACAGTGAACTAGTTCGTCCTATTAGTTTTATTAGCTCTATTCGGTCATCAGTACCAGCACTTTAAGCAGTTTAAACTGTATCTATTTGTAAAATCTGTATGGAATGGTTATTTCAATCAGTGAATCTCGGTTTCAGTCATTCAATATCTGTTCGAATCGTAGTGTTGTATTATTACTCTTACACACACACTTGATAAAATCTTGGTCAAAATAAAAGTCTAAAGCAAATTAGTGTTGAAAATATAATTAACGTAAATTAAACTAAATCCCATATCCATAACATGAGAAAATAAAGAGCATCCAAGGATGCAATCAATATTAAAACAATAATAAAAATCATAAAAAATACTCGTCAAGAATTGAATTATATATTGAAACTGATTTTAACGGATTTCATCATTTCATCAATGGTACCATTATAGGAATTCGTTGGCTCTTGTCCGAATGACTTACTCAACTCGCCGACTCTCTCGTTCGCTTGCTCTTGTACGTCGTATGTAGTAATTACTGTTCAATTTTAACAGAAATATGTAATAATAAAAGTAATTATTAGGTCGTTTGTTGCAAATGTTTGAATTTTAATATGTAGAAACGATATAAACAACAACATAAATGTTTTGTAAACTAATGTTTTCAATTTTGCTATATTATAAAAATTTTAGTACCTATACTTTTATTTAATAACGATAATCAAACCTTATCACGTTATTATTTATCCCTTGTTTTTCAAAAGAAGCAATGATGATGATGATCAATAATTCTATTTTGATTTATTTGATTATACAGATTTTAAGTTAAAACAGCATACAGATTTAATACAGATTTTAGCAATTTCTACTACAGATAAAAAGTTCGAGGCGTCTGGCAACCAGTGTGACCATATGTGGCAGGTTCCTGCCATTTTAGCAGGATTGGCCTCTTATTTTAGCCTCTGGCATGATCGGTTGACGTTTTATAAAACCTGGTAGTATTTGGCAGTATTGGGGTATTAAAAATAGATTTCATTATAGCAATTTAAAATGCCGAAAATTTAACTTTATTATAGATACTTCGCCAGCGTGTGGGGGATTTCCCTGTACTTCTCGTATTATGTTTGTATCATATTCAATAAACAACTTTAAAAGTTTGTATGTAAAGTTAATAATCTTAACACGAGTATTCATAAACACGAGTTTATGGTTAATATTTTAATCAGTCATTGAAGAGACGTACTTTAGTTTGGTATTGCATTAGATTTCATGGTGATAACATCTTGTTAATAATATGTATTATTATAAGTTAGTATAATATATTAATAGTATCTTAAATGATAACATAATTACTGTAATTGCTTAAAAATGCCTGATCTAATGTGTTTATACCAGATTTATCTCAAATTAACATTTTTTACATTTACAAACTCTTTACCGCTGCATTGGAAGATGTTTTCAAGCTTCTGGACTGGAAAGGATACGGTATAAACATCAATGGCGAGTACATCACTCACCTTCGATTTGCCGACGATATAGTCCTTATGGCAGAATCGCTGGAGGACCTAACCACTATGCTCAATGACCTCAATAGTGTTTCCCAACGGATAGGTCTTAAGATGAACATGGACAAAACAAAGATCATGTTTAATGTCCATGTCACACCTATGCCGGTAGTTGTTGGGAACACTAAGCTCGAAGTTGTTGACGAGTATGTTTACCTGGGACAAATAGTCCGACTAGGTAAGTCCAACTTCGACCGAGAGGTCAATCGACGGATTCAACTCGGCTGGGCAGCGTTCGGGAAGCTACGACACATCTTCTCGTCAGGTATACCTCAAAACTTGAAAACGAGACTGTACACCCAGTGCGTGTTGCCAGTGATGACATACGGAACTGAGACGTGGTCCTTCACTGCTGGCCGGATGAGGAAGCTCAAGGTCGCTCAGCGAGCTATGGAGAGGGCTATGCTCGGAGTTTCCCTGCGTGATAAACTCAGAAATGAGGATATCCGCAGTAGAACTAGAGTGACCGACATAGCCCAACGGATTAGTAAGCTGAAGTGGCAATGGGCCGGCCATATAGCTCGAAGAACCGACAACCGATGGGGAAGAAAGGTTCTCGAGTGGCAGCCTCGTACCGGCAGGCGAAGTGTAGGGCGTCCCCCCACTAGATGGAGTGACGACCTGGTAAGATATGCAGGAAGTCGATGGATGCAGGTGGCTCAGGACCGTGCTTTGTGGCATTCTTTGGGGGAGGCCTATGTTCAGCAGTGGACTTGTGAAGGGCTGTAATGATGATGATGATGATAATAATACAAATACACATACCATACCGACCTTCTAGTTATTTAATTAGAAACTCTTTTAATGTGCTTTTAGCTATTTTTACTTTATAATATTTTACTTTATTTAATATAGTGAGAGGAAGTTCGTTGAGTAAAGAGGGGAGCAGGTATTCCCACGTGCGCTTACCATAAATATTTTTTTTCTTAGTATAATACAATGGTAAATAAAGTTGGGAGTATTTTGGCATTTTTCACTACAGACTTTGGCACGATTTGGCAGGTTTTTAAACAAAGTAAGGCAGGATTTGTATTTTAAAGATGGTCACACTGCTGGCAACACTGTTCTAAATCTAGTTTTTTTTGGCGGGAAATTGACCGGCGGCGGTTTGCTGCTCCTGTCTTATTGTTTAAATAATGGTTTGAAGTGGACTTTGATATGTAAAAGTGTTGCGATTTTGTGTATTAAGTGTCTACGCATGTGAACTATTAGTGGAAACAGTGAAACAAGTGCTCTGATGGTGATGGATTCTCAAGATAAGCTGTTTGTTTGCATAGGCACCTTTAGATACCATCGCCAACTATCAGCTGTCTGCTGGATCAAGTTGCCGCCAAAATCTCCCAAGAACTGCACAATGTGACGCATCAACATATTGTGAAGCAGTATACTATGAAGGAGTGGGGAAATCACAATAAACCGAATAAAAATACTTAAGACTTGGCCTAAAGGTCTAGATACCAGGCCATAAACTCCAAAAAAAAAAATTGTTCTAAATCTATTTGTCAATAAAGTTAGTTTGAGTGAGTTTGAGGTTGCAATTTTGTAATAAAGTGCAAAAAGTACATAGGCATAGGTACTATTAAAGTATTATCCAATATTACCTTTATTAAAGGACTTGGCTTAGTGATTTCAATATTTTTTATTTGTGTTCTTTATCAGTGAAGAATTAAATGAACTTACATTTTAATAATTTTACGTATATTGAACAAATATATATATATGTACTTAAAATTACTTTGGAAAAGTAGGTTTTTAATTATATCTTGTAAAATATTCCTCAATGTTATATGCAAACTTTAATTATATGTATTAAAACAGTTGCTGGTAATAATTTGTTTAAATGCCTAAGAAAAAAGGGCAGAAAAAGAAGGCGAATAATCAAGGTACATTATATTATTACTTAAAATGCTTGATACCTCTTATGATAATTACTGTGATGTAGTAGACTGTATCGTATAATTCGTCTTTTATTTAACCTTTATCTTTCTGTTAAAAATGAAAGATTTAATTAAAAGTATAAGCTGACTTCAGTGAACTAAATAGCATGAAATACTTACTTTCACATTCTCAGACCAACAGCACCAACAAAGAAAGATGTACAGAGTGCTCCATATATTTCAAGTGATACTGAAACCATGCTTAATTTCTTGACATGCACTTGGCATGCAAATGGTTTAACTTTCTTTATCAGCCTGTAAAAGTTCAATGCTGCCCACACATATAAGCCCAAATCCAAACCATGTTGTTCGTTGCAAGTGATTTTAGTTGTATATGTGTATGTGAGTGTGTGTTCTTATATTAAATTGAGCATGATTTTGGTTTAGTTATTGTATCACATGAAATGTATGAGATGCTCAAAATTTCTTGAAGTCTTAATTATAATGCTGTCTAAATAATCAGATACAACAAAACTACATAACATAAAACTTCAAATAGGTTGCCACTAGTACTATAATATATAGTATGGTATTATAATTCAGTCAATTGTACTATATATTATAGAAAATAATATAGTACGTAAAATACTATATTTTTATCAACTGTTGTGCGTTTTTATATTAACTGTGACTGGAAGTCTGGAACAAGTAAGTTTTATGGAAAAAAATCCATCCTGAACGTAAAATGGAAAGAAGAAAGAAATAGAGCATGTATTAATTTAATTCTAAATTAATTGTTAGTTTATATTAAGTAAGCAAAGCAAAGAGCAATAACAAATATGTATAAAAGTATACCTAAAGATTAAAAATAAATATCTACTTTTTTCCCGTATTTCCTAAAAGTACTGTATTTTTTCATCTTTTTTGGGAAAAGTACTATATTTGTTCAAAAAAAAAAGGTGGCAATCCTACTTCAAACCCTTTATAATTGACAGACCTTATTTTTTCAGCTCTTTAGTAAGTAGCAAGTCTTGTTCTGCCAAAGATAGCAATTTTGGTTAAACTAGAAAGCTTCCATGAGTACTTAGTGTAGCATTTTACATCTTTGGCATTTGCAGTGTCATTAAATTTCTTTTGTAGAACTAATTGGAGATTTCTTTTTATTAAAAAAAAGAACAAATTTTTCAGCACTTGCAGATTTTACATTAAATGACTGTGCAAATGCTTCAAAACCAGTTTTAAAAGTGAAAAAGTCGGTTACAACAGAAGCAGTTATCTCTGAACTATCTTGGGATGAGATAAATGAGGATGAACTGGATATAGTTGAGGAAGTAGATGTGAATGGTACAAAAAGCATTGTGTTCAAGAAGAAAAGAAATCATTCCAGAACTGAAACTGAAGATGTTGACAGCCGTCCTGGAAATGTTTACCCTGAGATCATATGGTATCTTATATCTTGGTATATAAAACCAGAAGACATTGGATACTTTGCTAGAATAAATAAGGCTACATACTCAATAACAAAACGAGAATCTTTTTGGCGGACTTTGTATAAACGTCATTGTCAGTATCATCCCAAATTGCCTGATAGGCTCTGCTTAGAAAACAGTTACAAGTTGTATGGCTTACGACAGAGGGTAATTAGAGCACTTTATCACACATATGATGTATTTGTCAAGAGGGTCTTGCAACAAGCAGCTCATGATAGTCAACCACATCAGTTGGTCAAAAGGCGCTGTGTTAATGTCTGGTACTGTAAGGGATCTACACACTGGTCAGTTTATTTTAAATTTAAAAAGCTGCAACCCATGAAAAGGATAGAAATGAACAAGAATGTAGATTTCATCGAGGAGTTAGGAAGGATTGATGCTAATCCTGATGAAGATACTCAGGTACTACAGGTAAAAATTGTTTCCATATGTTATAACTTATCTTTTTTTTTTTAAATACTAATGATGCTATTAAACATTACTAATATTCCCTTAAACTACTTCTGCCATTAGCCTACTGACGCTTTATATATTATTATGTATTATATATACAGCCCATAAAATTCCACTGCTGAACATAGCTGTCCTACAGAATGCCTCATAAGAGGGATATTTACCATAGTTGCAACACTTGGCATGTGGGTTGGTATTCAATATTTTAAGGGGTTCCGTAGTTACACAACAAGGAACCCTTAAAGTTTCGTCATATCCGTCTATCCATACGTCCGTCCATGGTTTTGCTCAGACCCTAGGTGCTACAAATCTGTAATTTGGCATAGATATTAATATAAATCAAGCCTAGAAAACTGTTAATTAAAATCTAAAAAACATTTTATTTAGGTACTTCCCATACAAGTAAATGGAGGATGTTTTTTTTACCCATCCATATCATCATGTGTTGTATCAATGGATAGGTCTTTCAAAAACACTGGGGTGTGAAACTACATCTTTTCGATTGAGGGGTCCAGGACATTACTACTCTAGCTTTATTTTTTCACTTGCCGGGTAGGCAGGGAGGATCTTTCTTACTTACTTACTACTTTCGCTTATTTATTAGTTGGTAGTTATTGTAGGCCTAATTCAAAGTATTCATACAATCACAATTATAGTCTTATACAGTTTCATTCGTCACACTCTTGGTTTACACGAGCGACTTCAGGATAATTTAAGGCAGTGGTGGTTTAAGTGAAGGTTTGTTATGGTCATATACGTATAACATTATAGGGTTGTACTGCCGGGATTATATAGATAGATAGTCAACTATGATCATCTTTGTACCTTGGCATGTAAATTATTTGATGTAAATTGTATTATTTTCAAAATTGAAAAGTTTTTAATCTTTTTTGATTACCACTCCCTATAAGTCTTATTTGAAAATAAGTCCATCAGTTACGATCTTCCTGTTTGGGCCCATTTTTAGTCGTTGTAGCGGTCAAACCGCGACCTCACTTATTCTGCTCATTATCAAGAAAGCCCACATATTGTGATGGGCATCTACAGAACCCAACCCTTACATAATGCGTGGCCCTACACTCACGTGGTCAGTTTTATTTATTTTCTAATTGTTATTTTTTAAATAATAAATGTTACCACACTACTATTTTCTCCTGTATTGTGGAGGAAAATTAAAGCAATATTAGGATATCACTGCTGTACATCTGGCATGTTTCTCTGTTGCCTCATACAACACCCATGGGACAATATGGGCTAGGTGGAGGATATTCTTTCACCGCCACAACATAGTTAATGTTTGATGTATCTATATGTTTATAATGGAGTTTTTTCTTGAATTTTTATTAAGGTTAGACAAATTTCTATGGTGTACAATAAATTAAGTATTAATGTTATATTTTGTATTGCCATTATGATGGCGGCGTAAGAGAATCCATCACACCACACCATGTCGTCCCATAGGCATCGTAGAGAGGCGACTATTAGAAATGGCCGTAAAATAACCTCGTTTTTTTTTATAGGATTGGGGTGACAAACGAGCACACAGTCCACCTGATAGTAAGTGGTTACTGTGGTCCATAGACATCTATCCTCCATTACAAATTAAAATGCAGATGCATTGTCATCCGTGAGGACTAAAGTTTCTTATTGCCTTAATGCCTTGTTTCCAGTAAAAAGGGTCGCCGGTTCTCTACACTCACCATACTAAACACAGCAGCGTTAAGCTGCTATTTTACGCTGGTATTCTGTGAGAGTGTAGTCCTTCCCCGGTCGAGCTGACCCATTCGTGCTACAACTATACCAGTAATATAGCTGCAGCATGGCTCTACCACATATAAAATCGTTTACGTGTGACATAAAATACCCAGACTGGCGATGGATAACAGTGACAAAGATGCCAGTGCAAGAAGTCAATCCACCTACAGGAAACTCCTACCTACAATGGGAGAAGGCCATGGTTCACTAGTGGACTATTATGTGCCAATGAAGAAGAAGGAAATGATTAATTATTTTGTTTATTTAGATAACTCTTACAAAATGTGTGATTTATACAATTATATTTATTTACTACTTGGTACTGCCACTTTAATCTTACAAAATGTGTGATTTACAATTTTTTATATTCCAGGTAACCTGCCAAAACTTTTACGAAGTACCTCCACTAATGGGTATGACATTATCATCAGTCAGTGTAGTTTTATCTCAACGATTCAGACACCGCAGGTTACACCTGGGCTTCAATACTGGAGACCACAATGTATCTCGCAACATCTTACCAGAATGTTCTGTGGTATTAGACACTGTTATCAATTTTTATGTCTTTGACTGGTGGCATCCAAAGTACCCTCATTTTGACAACCCGCTGCCATTGAATGTGATGGACGATGAATCGGTGCCAGTGTTGAAAAAGGATTTTTTTACTGTGTGTAAAGGAGATTTATAAAGTGATGGACAAACGTGTTATAATTTTAATATATTTTCATAAATGTTTAAATGCTTTTTAATTTAACTCTTCAAAGATTTCTTAGATCCTATAACAAGCTTATAGTGTATACAGCAATTTTTAGCCTATCAAAAGCCCACTGCTGAACATAGACCATAGGAATCCTCTGTGGGGCATGGAGGATATTTAACGTAGTTGCCAAGAGTCTCAAGTGGGTTGGCAACTGTAGTTTTATTTTTTATTTTTAGTCATTATTAAAAAGACAATGCTTCCCTTCTGATATGTTTCCATCTGTCGCCTCTTACAAAACTCATGCGATGACAATATAGGGTAGTTATATTCTTATACAACCACTACCCCCCGTCCCAGCTCCAGCATGTGGTAGAGCCATGCTCCAGCTATATTATAGTTACACCACGAATAGGTCAGCTCAACTGGGGAAGTACCATGCTCTTACCTAATGCTAGCGTAAAATAGCAGCATTAAGCTGCTGTGTTTTGTATAGTTTTTTTTATAGGATAGGGTGACAAACGAGCACACAGTCCATTGATGGTAAGTAGTTGCTGTGGCCCATAGATATCTACATATATCCTCGTTTGCGAATGAAAATGCAGATACGTTGTTAACCCGTGAGGACTAAGATAGAATGCCTCTTTTCCAGTAAAAAGGGTCTCCGGTTCTCTACACTCACCATATGAAACACAGCAGCGTTAAGCTGCTATTTTACGCTGGTATTCTGTGGGAGCGTGGTCCTTCCCCGGTCGAGTTGACCCATTCGTGCTACAACTATACTACTAATATAGCTGCACGGCTCTACCACGTATAAAAAAGTGAGTGTAGAGAACCATTCTTTACTGGATACGTGGCATTTCATCTTATTCCTCAGGGGTGACAACGCATCTGCATTTTAATTCTTAATATAGATGTAAGGGCCACAGTATCCAATTACCATCAAATGGATTGTGTGCCCGTTTGTTATTTTTATTCTATAAAAAAAATCAATCAGAAAGTTGGCGGTGTTCGGCCCGTGCCTCGGAAAATACGTTACTCGTTTGGCCCTGCGTCTGTTCTCTCTATGGTCATCTCGGATTGCCATCCTGTCCCCAAAGCATTATTACTCCTAGCGGAGGTCCCAAGGGACTATGAGATTGAGGGAATAATGTATCTGTGCTTGCGCACACACTCGGACAGTAGGAGTAATTCACTCAGTTTCTCACTCAGACTCACACAGTTTGCAATGAATATTGAACTCGCGTCCTTCCATTACTACTACAATCAATTCCCAAAAGGTGGCGCTGATTATTAATTAAATGGAAGTGCTGCTTAGTCAAAACATTATATAAGAAACAAAATATCTAAGTTGCTTTATCAACTTGATAACAACATTCATAATATAATTCACAAGGCCATACAAGAGAGTTCAATAAACGTTTCGTCGTGGTCAAACGGATTATTACAATTTTAAGAAGACAATTTCGGGAAACAGAAAATGGTAATAAATGTTAGGGAAGAATTTTTAATTATAACACTGAACGCGAAGCGGAGAGTACCCTATAATCTAATATATAAAAATTAATGTGTGTTCGTATTTTATGCACTGCTATACCGTTCTTCAGATTGCGCTAAAACTATCAACTTATTGCTTGCACTTGCGCGTAGTTTATAGGCATAGTACAATTAGCTTACAGTAGGTGGCGCGTGTATCGTACCGACAAATTTATTTGAAAGTTTTCTATCATTCAACTTCAATGAAGGTATCATCATTCCTAAATAAAATATGTAACTCTTCCAAATTGAAAACGATATAAATTCCGCAATTATTAATTGTGCAGCTGCAACGCGCCGGGTACCAGCTACTATATTATATTAGATATTATGCCGGAGACCGGAGAGGTTGGGCTTTATCGGCCTATGATGATCTTGCGTGTCGCTCGCACATTATATCGGGCTTATTTTTTTCAAATTTGGCGGTTAATGGTATTTTTTTACCAATACCAACACGTGTTGAAAGACAGAATAATATTAAGAGGAAACACTAATGATTTTTATACGTGGTAGAGCTATGTTGCAGCTATATTATGGTTGTAGCACGAATGGGTCGGCTCGACCGGGGAAGGACCACGCTCTCACAGAATACCAGTGTAAAATAGCAGGTTAACGCTGCTGTGTTTCGTATGGTGAGTGTAGAGAACCGGAGACCCTTTTTACTGGAAACGTGGCATTCCATCTTAGTCCTCACGGCTGACAACGCATCTGCATTTTGATTCGCAATCGAAGATAGATGTAGATGTCTATGGGCCACTGCAACCACTTACCATCAGGTGGACTGTGTGCTCGTTTGTCACCTTATCCTATTAAAAAAAAACACTAATGATTAAGTTAATTTCCACTGGAACCGGAATGGTGGCATTCCATCTTAGTCCTCAAGGGTGACAACACATTTGCATTTTAAATCGAAGGTAGATGTGAATGTGTAGATACGTATATGTAGATATGGGCCACAGCACCCACTTACTGTCAGGAGGACTGTGTGCTCGTTTGTTATCCTTGCTCTATAAAAAATGCACTCGAAATAGATTTACTTTTATTATTTGATTATTTCCTATGGGTCTAGGTAGGTTACCTCAGTGAGGAATCCTCACTATGTTTTAGTGAGATATCATTAAATTTAGTTAAAACTTCTATCTATTTATTAATCAAAATAAATATATGTTCAACGTTTTTTTGGCGTTTACGCTTCATTGTTTTACATGTTTAATTTGAACTATTAGAACTAAGGTCGAAAAGTTATTAGCGACTCGACCCGGCTTCGCCTGGATGGGATCTATTAATGTGGCAATATTTAGATTTAAGATACCTAATCAAACAACATTTATTTTATCAATGTTTCGTTTGTTCAAAAACTCTTAAATTTTTCGTATGAGAAAGATCCTAGATCCCTCCTGGAAATGCTCTCTGTATGTAAAGTTTCATCGCAATCGGTTCAACCATTCCGTAGATTAGCCCGCACCGACAGCCAAACGAAAATTTTAAAAATGTTTGTTTATGTCCAAATAATCCTCTCAGCTTAATAGGATCCAGTTTTTTTTTTCAATATTACAGAGAGAGAGACTTCAATTTTATTTATATGTATATCTCTCAAGTATTTAAGTGCCGTACCACCATTAACTTTTTTAAACTCTGTCGACACCGAATATCCCCCTGATTCCCCTGGTTCCCCTGGTGTAAAGGTCGGCAACGCATCTGCAATTCCCCTGGTTCCCCTAGTGTTGCAGTTGTTCATGGGCGGGCGGCGGTAGTCACTCATCATCAGTCAAATAATACGTCTGATAATCCACTTACCATCAGGTGGACTGTGTGCTCGTTTATCACCCTTATTATATATAAAAAAGGTTGTCTAGTCTGTTTTTGCCGATGTGCAATTTATAAAAGCAAACCCTACAAAGCAAGAGAAATTCGTTTAGTGGTGTTCCTTACTTTAACGCTTTTTTAAAGAAAAAAAAAATTGGTATGTTGACAGCATGTTATGTGACGATTTTAAAATAATTTATAATTACACTGATGTGTTATCTGTGTCGACCTCAGAGGCGCATCGAGTGGCTCTATTGGTTCGAACTGACCTTTGATAGAATTTAAATTAGCTATCGGTGGTACGTGACACAAACAGTTGATTTCCTGATTCAGTGAACGTTTGAAGATTGCTAACTGGCATTGTGTTGTTGGGTCAATATGATTAAAACTATATTACTGCTAAATTTTTTCGCGGTGGTAAGTTTATTTATTTATTTTAATTAATTAATATTAACGGTAACTAAGAATCCTTAACTAAACTGATGTAAGCTATGCATTGCATACATAAGCCTCCACTACGGCTGCCAATTTTTGTATTCCTAGATTTCGAGATTATATACTTTTCAAAATAAAGTAATTTAAAAATGTATTTAAAGTATGTTCGAAATTAATATTAAAATTTTTAAAAAAGTATTTTTTGCTTTGAGTTTTTATTAAAAGCCTTAGTTAGTCTTAATATTTTGTAAATTTTCATACTAACAAGTTTAATGACTAAGGAAAATTTCCACACAAATAATATACGCCCATACGTGAATACTTTAAAAATATAATAAGTTAATAAGCCGTTACTCTTAGTAACGGGACGATAATATTCCAATAAAGTGAAAAAATATGATTAGGTATATTACTGTAATATTTTTTCTACAGGAGTATTTTTTTAACAGAATAAGGGTGACACAGTACTTGGCCCATAAAAACCTACATTTATACTCAATTAAGAATCAAACTGCAGATACGTTATCACCTCTGAGGACTAATGATGTAATACCTCGTTTCCAGTAAACACAGCAGCATTAAGCAGCCATTTTACGCTGGTATTCTGTGAGAGAATGGGCCCACCCCGGTCGAGCCGACCCATTGGTGTTACAACCATAATGTGGCTCTACCACGTAAAAATTATATTACCTTGTCTCTATCTCGTCTCTTTTATATGGGGCTTTTAATGTAAACACAAGGGGTTCCGTAAGAGACGATTGATGGTGGATACATAAATTCTCCTTTGCCGTAAGGCAAATTCAGAATATTTAAACAGTAATATTTTACTTATAAATGACTAGCTGATCCCCCTTACTTCCCCCGCGTGGAATTTATTACTATTGGATTTTTTGGGTTTTAATTTTTTTGCGAAGAGAAAAGAATAAGGGTTTCCTTATTCTTTTCCTAAAATAAAACTAGCCTAAGTTACTCCGTATAACATCAGCTATCTGCCAGTGAGTCAGGTCAAAAGCGTTTCGGAGATTAGCCAGAACAAACAGACAGACAGACAGATATTTATTAAAAATTGATCTTTGTTATTACTACCGTACATACTTTCATATTATGCATTTAGTAAAAATCTGTTATTTTGATATTACAAGCATACACTTCAATTTTATTTATTTGTATAGATAAATAATAGCCAACATAGAATGCCAGTTAAAATAGGGCTTAATGCTGCTGTGTTTCGATGGTGAGTGACGAGAACAGGAGACCTTATGAATTGTTGATGAGTCATTCTATCATAATCTTCATAATTGACAATGTATCTGCATATTGATTCTACATTGAGGATTCACACACATCTGGGCCACAGCAACCACTTTAAGTGGATAGTGCCCATTTGTCACCTTACTCATATTAAAATGAAGTGCATCATATAAGCTCGATTCGTCCAATGTTGACACTGATATATCACGTGAAGGTTTCGTAGATGATTGGTCCAGCAGCAATTCAAACTGAAGCTAAAATTTATGCAATGCGGAGACTTGGCTTTTGATTATTAATGGATTACGATTTAGATTAAGCATGTAGAAGAAGAAGAAGAAGAGTATGTTTAACGCCGACATCTGCAATATGAGTATTTTATGATCTCTAATAAGAGGGACAAATGATCTAGCAGTTTCAGGCTAACTCAGGTTGATACGTTGAGTCGGATAAAGTTGTAGTTTGATAAAGCTGTCTTTCGATGAATCCATAGTCCGATGAAGGTGTAGTCCGATAAAGCTGTAGTTCGATGAAGCTGTACTACGATGAATCTGTAGTTCGATGAATCTGTAATTCGATGAAGCTGTAGTACGATGAATCTGTAGTATGATGAATCTGTATTTTAATATAGCTGTAGATCGATGAAGTTGTAGTACAATTAAGCTATAGTACGATGAAGCAGTAGTCCGATGAATCTGTGTAGTACTATGAATCTGTAGTTTTATAAAGCTGTAGTTCGATGACGCTGTAGTACGATGAATCTGTTGTCCGATGAAGCTACCGTTCGATGAAGCTATAGTACGATGAAGCTTTAGTACGATGCATCTGTAGTTCGGTAAAACTGTAGAGTACGTTTAAGCTGTCTTTCGATGAATACATAGTCCGATGAGGGTGTAGTTTGATGAAGATGTACTTTGTTGACGCTGCAGTACAATTAAACTGTCGTAAATGAAACTGTAGTCAGATGAAGCTGTAGTTCAATGAAGTTATAGTACGACGACGCAGTAATCCGAAGAAGTTTTACTTTGATGAAGCTGTAGGTTGATAAAACTGTAGTTCCATCAAGCTGTTATTCAGTGAAGCTATAGTACGACGAAGCTGTAGTACGATGAATTTGTAGTTTGATGAAGCTGTAGTACGATGAAACTGTAGTTAGATGAAGCTGTAGTCCAATGAATCTATATTCTGATGAAGCTGTAGTCCAATTAATCTGTAGTCTGATGAAGCTGTAGTACGATGAATTTATAGTCCGATGAAACTGCAGTCCGATTAACTGTAACTTAATGAATGGGTAGTTCGATGAAGCTGTAGCTTATTAAAACTGTAATTCGATTAAGCTGTTGTCTGATGAAACTAGTTCGGTGAAGCTGTAGTCAACTGGCTAACAGCACAGAAAATGGAAAAATGATACGTTGTCACCCTTGAGGACTGCTATTATCATCAGCTGTTCTGTTTGTATATTATTCAATCAATAAAATCGTATTAAAATATTAGGTTTTTAACGTAATGGGATGTCTTAAACTTGATATTTTATTGCAGTGCAAAGAAGTTTTGTAATCTTTTAAAAACAGGTCTAAGTGAATATTGTATAGAATTTCAATCTTGTTTTCAGGTGTGCATTGCGGAAAGTCCCGAGCTACCACCTGCAAGATGTGGGATAATTCCGAAAAATGTATGTACTGTTTTTCTGGGATTTCCTTTCTATATTTATAAAAATATTATAGCAACAATATCTCTTTCGCAAACACATTTGGGATGCATTTTTAAAAAATGATATAATGTCCTTCACTAGACCGAATTTCGGTCAAGGTGAAGTTCTGCCTTAATAGAGACTTGACATCTGCGCAGGACGGGATTATAGTGCATGGGTGTGTGCGCTAGCACAAGTGCTTTCTCTATTCTCTCACTCTCATAGTATGACGAAACTGCAATTCGATTCGATCGAAAACAAATCAAGGGCAGGCCGTTGGCTTTCCGAAGCAGAGAGGTGAAACACCGTCAACTTACTGAAGTACTTAGAAACGTAACATTTTTACTTTTGACTGCCTCGTTGGTCTAATGTTCGAATCCCGAATTGGGCCAACATCTGTTAGTATTGAGTTTCTGTCAAGAAATTTTCAGTAGCATCCCGGAGTCGGGGGTTGGCGGTGTTTCACCCCTGTACCTCGGAAAGCACGTAAAGCCGTTGACCCTACGCCTGATCTCTCTCCGGTCGCGTCGGATTACCATCCCATCGGACTATATAAGTGAGCGAATACAGTGTACCTGTATACACTTGCGCACTCCTTGAGTACCTAGAATCCCAAATTTATGAGTCATTAAGGTTCGAAAAGTGTCCTTTTTGATCACTCCTTCACGCATCAAAAACGTAGTCACTTCTAGGTTAATTAAAAATTTGGTATCAAGGTAAATCATTTGGCGTATACACATGATAAATCCTATTATCCATAACAGACTATTAAAGTCCACTGCCGAACCTACCCATAGATTGCCTTATCAGGGGGATATTTGCCGTAGTTGCCACGATTGGCAGGCAGATTCGGAACCCCGGTTGCTATTTTCAAGTTGATATTAGAAAGACGTTGCTGCCCATCTCCTGGTTCTCCTTCTGTTGTCACGTACGTCACCCACAGGATGATATGAGGTGAGGAGTTAGATATTCTTATAAATACTGCTACACGCAGAGCAAAGTTAAAATAAAATTTATCGATATTTAATTTAGAAAACAGTGAAGTATAGACTAGCATAAACGCGAGAGAATACGTTGAAAGTCATGTTTTCATTTAGATTAATAAAAGTATTATTTATTTTTCAAAATTTATGATGACCAAAAACAATTTTTTTTCTACGTTTGAGACTGAATGGATGCCAAGCCCCATAGTAGTTTCAAGAACATTGTAAATTTCTACAGACCCTATGATAAAGCAACTCTTTATCGGCAAAGCAGACGACCCTGAAAATCGTTTGAACCGAACTCTATTCCTTTTCACAATAAAGTTATTGGTGGGATATAGTTATTATTTAGTACCCTTGCCTTGATTTTGTATAAATGCCTTTAACTTTTTATCAACACTAAATCTGACATCGATTTGCAGAGAACTGTTTTACAAAACCATCTATACAGGATAACTTGCCGGACATAATGCCAGTTAATTCTGAATACACGTTTGTGTAAAGAATGACTAAATACACAGTTAAAATATTATATAAAATTGCTTTTGAGCTCGTGAAATAGATATATAGGTACTCCACTACGGTATCATTTGGGTTCCTACATAAATTATTTATCAAAAATGTCATTTTAATGGTTCCTAATTTATTTTCACCTCCGTCCATTTTTTATTGATCCCAAACAAATTTAAAAGTATTGTTACGTAGTAAGTTATTTAATCTCTGGTATTTTTTGCTTCTTTCAGGTATACTCGTGCATGGGAAATCCGAGGGTTGTGAAACCTAGTGCGTCGGACAAGTGTGTTGGTGCTGATACTCAGGTAATATAAATCTTTAAAGATGTTAAAAATTAATTGGTTGATATTTGCATAATGAAATAAAATGATGTATATTACCTAGTTTGAAGAGTACCTCTCGCCCTCTTTCAATTGCGTGCTCTATCCCCGTCACCACTAATCCCAACAAAATTACACTAGGGAAGACACACCAGCCTCGATGATACTATCGATGTAGTATCGACGGTGGTGCGTCTCTGATCTTAACTAATGGGTTTCCACAAAGTAACGCCTGATTCTATTAATAATATTTATCCATTCAATTACTTAGTGTTTTTACATGCAAGAATATCCTAATGTTAATTGTTTGTCGTTTAAGGCTCCATTTCTCTGTTTTTGATTGAAGGAGCACAAGATGCTAAGCCACCAGAATTTGAATCCAATAACTACCTTATTGAGATGTATGGGACACCTTAGCGCATGTACTCTCACTTTAAAACAAATAAATTTAAAAAATGGGTAGCTAGCCTCAACGACGCATTCCATCTTAATCCTCAGGGGTGATAGCGCATTTGTATTTTGATTTTTAATCGAGGATAGATGTAGATATCTATGGCCCGTGGTATCCACTTACTATCAGGTGGACTGTGCTCTCGTTTGTCACCCTTATTGTGTAAAAAGAAAGTAGCAGAGACAGCGAAAGTATAGACATCTCTTTCGCAAACACATTTGGCAAACACATTGATAGAACCTGAGACCCCTCTCACGTAACGAAGCATTTAAGCTTAGTCTCCACGGGAACAATGCGTCAGAATTTTTGATCCTTGATAGAGGATAGATGTAGGTGGACTTTCTGCTTATTGGTTACCCTTGTTTTTTATTCATATAAAATAACTTCGAATTAATGAATTCTTGCGATTTACAGTGCGACCGAATGACTTGTCTATTCAGAGAGTCCGGTTTTATGATCGGGGACAAAGTAAACACTAAGAAGTTGACAGAGCATTTTGACGAGTTCAAGAAGGAATTTCCTGAGTGGACCGCCGCGGTGGACCAATTGAAGACATCGTGTATCACCAACGATCTACCCCCGCAAGGAATTTACATTAACTGTCCAGCTTACGACGTGATGATGTGTGCTTTGACCAGCTTCATCAGGGTTAGTATTTAATTTGAGTTTTGGTGTAAAAAAGTATAGTAAGATTATAGAAAATACAACAAACATCTAATAGCCTCCTCAAACGTCTAATAGATGGCGTTGTCTCGTAAAACCAGGGAGCAGCTTTGGAGATGCGGGTAATCTGGTATTGCGATGTACTCGTATAATCCGTCTCGAACGAATAAACCGTAAGCGCGGTGATGAGAGAATGTTAAACCAACCAAAATTTGTACGTGGTAGAGCCACGCTACAGCTAGATTATGGTTGTACCCGGGACCACGTTCTCACAGAATACCAACATATAATAGTAGTTAGTAGTGTTAGAAATTAATCTGGAAGTTTAAGATAATTATCAGGAATAAGATAACGTACTGCACTATACATTCAGTATAGGGCAAACACAGTTCGACCATACCGTAATAATAGGTTGGGGAAAAAGTTTCTTCGTATTTTGTTTGTATAAAATGGAAAAGAAAAATCTCTTTGGTTGTACTGTTTGTATCTAGCTGGTTTTAATATCAATACATATCCTACTCGTAAAGGACATTAAGAAAAAGAAAACTAAAAAATAAAAAACACTTTCCCGCCATTTTTCAATTGTTTTTCTGTCCGCCAAAATCTTAAAAAAATCTAACAAAGAAATTCGATACCTACATTCTGAAGTTTTATTACAAAAAGGGACAAATGTGAATCAAGCCAAGAAAAAAATTGTGACGTTTATGGACTTAATGCATTGTCAGTAAGGGTAGCACAAAATTGGTTCAAGCGTTTTCAGTCCGGGAATTTTGATGTCAAAGATGCAGCTCGGTCTGTTCATCCTCATACGGAAAAAGTTTTTTCTTATAGAACAGGTGGCAAACGAGCATGCGCAACACCAGGGGAATTGCAGATGCGTTGCCGGCCTTTTAGAAAGGAGTAGGCTCTTTTCTTGAAGGTCCCTAAGTCGTATCGGTCCGGAAAAGGTAAAAGCCGACTTCAAAAAACTAAAAATAATGAAATAATTTCATGTTATTGTCTTATATGTGGTTGCGCCAGCGAGGTTAATTAGACTTTCAGTTAACAGCCTAGCCATTATATGGCATGGTCACCTATTTTTTTTTTTATAGGAGAGGGGGCAAACGAGCATGCGGCTCACCTGATGGTAAGTGACTACCGCCGCCAATTAATTTCATTTAACGAGACGGTCGCTGGTTTGTGCTTAATTAGCGCTATGTGCTATATTATATAAATGTACGTGGTTTTAGGGCCACACCAGCCGCACCTTAACCTACTGTCACTGATATTACAAGATATGTGCAATGTTATATTAGACGCATCGGCTAAATATTATTCAGTCCGCTAGTTGAACGGCGGCGTTTAGTAAAAAGGCTAGGCTGTTAACTGATAGGCTAATTAAAGCTTGTTGGCTGCGAGCTGCGACGTATACACTGTTTAATTTTATGCAATCCTATTGGTTAATATTTCTCCGTTTCTCCGTTCCGTTGGCTCGCTTCGCATTATTGGACAGGCAGCCTAAGCACCGACTTAAGAATATGAAATTATTTCATTATTTATAGTTATTTAAAAATAGCTTTTACTTTTTATTCGATGTTAATTTCGTCACAGGTGACTGCCACCTAAGTACTCAGAATTGACAACGTTACTGCGTAGTGATTCTTAATTGATGATAAATGTTAGGTCTATAGGCCTCAGTGTCCACTAACTATCAGATGGACTGTGTAATTGTTTGTCATCGTTACTTCCTACTGTTTCAGAACGTGCAACCCTCGCAGTGGTCCACAGCTCAGGACTGTGCCCACGCGCGTCAGTATGCAGCTTATTGCCCAGTGTGCCCCAACGATTGCTTTGCCCGTCTCATTCCTACTGGCTCTTGCAACTCTTGCCAACTGCTGCCACGATCGCCATGATTTTTCTTAATTAAACATTAAATAAAGTTTTTTTTGTGTATTTTTGGCATTATTTCAAGTACCACGGTCATAATAACTTCACCTAGAACTTTCTCAATTTTTACGTTACAACAGAAATTAAAAGGCTATGCTCAGACGCGGGTTCCTGCAGAATACCAAGAGTAACTGAAGTGTCAATGGGCAGGCTATATTTTTTTACCATTATAAGTTAGTATTTGTCTACTGTCCCACCTGATGATGAGATATACATATTATATAGCTTAAAGAACCGACAACCGATGCGGAAAAAAGGTTCAAGAGAGTGGCGGCCAGAAATTTTGGATCCTTCAATGGTTAAAGTACCTTGTAGGTTTTAATGAGTCATCATCATCATGATTACAGCCCTTCATAAGTCCACTGCTGAACATAGGCCTCCCCCAAGAAATACCACAAAGCACGGTCCTGAGCCACCTGCATTCATCGACTTCCTGCATGTCTTACCAGGTCGTCACTCCATCTAGTGGGGGGTCGCCATAGACTTCGCCTACCGGTACGAGGATGCCACTCGAGAACCTTTCTCCCCATCGGTTGTCGGTTCTTCGAGCTATATGACCGGCCCATTACCCCTTCAGCTTACTAATCCGTTGGGCTATGTCGGTTACTCTAGTTCTACCGCGGATATCCTCATTTCTAAGTTTATCACGCAGATAAACTCCGAGCATAGCTCGCAGAGCGACTTTGGGCGTTCTCATTCGGCCAGCAGTGAAGGACCACGTCACAGATCCATAAGTCATCACTGCCAACACGCACTGGTTGTACAATCTCGTTTTCAGGTTTCGAGGTATACCTGACGTGAAGATGTGTCGTAGTTTCTCGAACGCTGCCCAGCCGAGTTGAATCTATCGATTGACCTCTCAGTCCTAGAAGTTGGACTTACCTAGTCGGACTATTTGTCCCGGGTAAACATACTCGTCAACAATTACTCGAAGTTATTGACGAGTATGCGTACGAGCGAATATTAAAATATGTGACATAAATTGCCCTATCTTTGATTGCGTTGCTATAGAAGCTAGAACTCGTTACATCTCCAAAGGACCGTAGACCTTGAAAATAATACAAAACAAAGAAACTCCAAGCATAGCTCTCTCCATAGCTAGCTGAACGGTATTGAGCATTCTCATACGGCCAGCAGTGAAGGACAACTACAATTATACGTGGTAACGTGGTAGAGCCACGCTGCAGCTATATTATGGTTGTAGCACGAATGGATTGGCTCGACCGGGGACCACGCTCTTACAGAATACCAGCGTAAAATAGCAGCTTAATGCTGCTGTGTTTCGTATGGCGAGTGTAGCGAACCGGAGACCCTTCTTACTGGAAACGAGGCATTCCATCTTAGTCCCCAGGGGTGACAACGCATTTTGATTGTTAATAGGGAATTATTTATCCTAGATATCCTAGATAGAAATCTAGGTCACAGCATCCGCTTACTATCAGGTGGACTGTGTGCATCCTTATTCTATAAAAAAACAACGTCTCATTTGTATATTAAGTTCACAGGCAACACGCATTTGAACCCGTTACGAAAAGGTGTGTCGTAATTTCCGAACGCTGATCAGCTGAGTTGAATCCGTTGATTGATCTCTCGTTTGAAGTTGGTCTTACTTACTCAAAGAATTTGTACTAATTTAACATACGCGTCACCAACTTCGAGCGCAGTGCTTCCTATTTCTTTGGTGAGACATGGAAGTTACACATGACCTTTGTATTGTCCATGTTCATTTTAAGACTTATCCGCGTTAGCCAGTATTGAGGTCATTATCTTTAGTGCTCCTCCACCGATTCTACCATAATAACCATATAGTCGGCAAATCGAAGGTGAGTTATGAACGCACCTATTGATGTTGATACCGTATCACAGAATACCGTTAGTGTTTCGTATGATGAGTGTAGAGAACCGCAGATGCTATTTAATGGAAATGTGGCATTCCATCTTAGTTCTCAGGGGTGATAACGCATCAGCATTTTGATTTTTAATCGGGGATATAGATGTCAATGGGCAGGTGGACTGTGTTAACTTTCATAAGAAAGAATAATATATAAAAAAATCTTTGACGGCTCCGTGGCGCAGTGGCTTAGCAATGAGTTGTTGCTCTGGGGGTCGCGGTATCGAATCCCGCACAGAACAGGTAGGTATTTATATGGCCTACAAATAATTGTTCCGGGTCTGGATGTTTGTCCTCGTGCAATTTATATTTGTAAACTGCCTCCACGATACAGGAGAAAATCCTAGTGTTAAAAAAAATTCCAGTCGTAGTAGCTTGAAAACGTCTTTCGATTTAGCAATGAAGAGTTTGGAGGATATATTAAAGTCAACCTGTTTTACGGTTCGCTGTATACTTCGGTAAGTTTCTTAAAACTCTGGTTTTATACAAAACTAGCTAATACCTGCTCGCTTCGCTGGGTGCACGATAGTAGACGATAATAATTAATAACGTAGATATAAAATATCAAGATATTTTTTTTTATGAGAATCTCATAAAATCCGTTCTTAGTGAGCGTCGACGTTGCAAAATGAGTAACCATATTAAATATCAAGTCAATCGGGTTTGTAGTTTTAGAGATATGGTGATGAGTCAGTCATTCAGTCAGTGGTTTTTCGCTTATATTATATCCTTTTTTATATATGGAGATATATAAAAAAGGAGTGGAATGGAGATATATTATATATCAGTGGAGCCATTTTCGAGTTTGCGAGACTACTGCAATTGATTTATATAATACGAGCTGTGCCCCGCGTTTTCACCCGCGTATTATTTAAGAAATTATTTATTAATTGATTTATAGTACTTCAGTATAGACAATATTTTTAGTTACCTTTTCATTTGGTATTAAAATATATTGGTTTTCACCGCATCCTGTTCTAGATAAGCCAACATATAACTGTCCATGGGAAAAACAGCATTCACTTAAATCTATCCCCATGTGCTTGAAAGTCTGTCCCTGTGCTTTATTTATAGTGACTGCAAACGATACTTTTATGGGAAATTGTATTCTTTTAAAACTAAATGGTAAATCTGTAGGTATCATAGGAATTCGAGCTATCAGTACCGTTTGCTCAACTGCTGGCTCAGTAAAAACTATAGCAACTATGATGATATTATTTCTAAGAAATTTAACTTGAAGCCTAGTTCCGTTACATAGACTTGGTGGCCGCAGGTTTCGTAATAAAATAATGGGAGTGACACTTTTTGAACTAAGCCGCGCGAAATGACAGCTCGCTTATATAGGCGTTCACTGCTGGTTTCTTTTGGATCTCATCGGGCGGCTAGGGTTTATGCGATCGTTCGCGCTCCGAGCAGAGTGTTTATTATATTATTTTTTCATTATCTTTTAAACTATGCGTCCAAATAACATGCTATAAAGACCAAAGTTTATCTTCATAAAATTGTCTTCATGATGAAGTAACTTTAGTTCGTAAGGATTAATATGCCATACCTAATAATAACGCTCATAAATCACTTTTTAATTTTCAATAATTTTTTGTCACAAAATACCTTATTGTGGCTTATGAATAAGAAATAGGCATATGGTAGCGCGGACTTTATTTTAGGTGGGGCAAAGACCAATATTTTTGTAGAACATTGTATTTATGTAATACTAAACGTTACGCCAGCGCACGCGGATAAAGCAGTTAGAGAGCGCCTTTTCTTCCGACTTGCTTAACAAAAATTAATATTTAAGGCTGGCTGAGTGTTATAGGCTAATACTAGATAGTCTATACTATTTCTCATGAATCTGGCTATTATATTCAAAAAGAATTTTTCAAATCGGACTGGTAGTTTCAAAGATTAGCGCGTTTAAACAAACAAAAAAAAACTCTTCCGCTTTATTATATTAGTAAGTATAGTATAGATAGATAAGATTAATATTTTTTTTACTTCCATTATAACGCCTCCGCAATCCCCTTTGTGGGCGGAAATTCATAAAATCCGTTCTTGGTAATTTTTAACATGCTAAAAAGAATATTCTGACTAAGTTTTATACTATAACTATGACATCTATATCTACCCTCGATTACGAATCAAAATGCAGATGCGTTGTCACCCTTGAGGTGTAAGAAGGAATACCTTGTTTCTAGTAAAACGGGTTCGGGTTCTCTACACTCACCATACAAAACACAGCAGCATTAAGCTGCTATTGTATACGTTGGTATTCTGTGAAAGCGTGGTCCTTCCCCGGTCGAGCCGACCCATTCGTGCTATCACTATACTACTTATAGTATAGTGGTAGTACGAATGGGTATAATAAATAAAATATAGCTGCAGCATGGCTCTACTACGTTTTATATATCGTAGTTTTATAACTGTACAAACACTTCAACACTTTGATATACCTATCGACAGTTAACTTGACACTGAGGGTACCGATTAAATTGCGACGAAATCGAATCTTTTGCATCGTTTACATACGCAAGACAAAATCGCAAATTGTACTCTTCAGTCTTCTGTACAATTTTCCGAAGGGTGTGTATGTGTGTGGCCTATTGTAAAGCCTTTTCGGAAACTAGCTTTTTCGGCAGGCTGGAGGCGTCAAGTCTGCATGCAAGACGATTCGTAATGACTCTCGAAAACAGCATTAGACGCGGCTCAGAAGGGAAATCGGTCTATAGTCATTTCATAAAGCGTAGTCGCCTTTTTTGAAGAATAAGTACAACTTCTGTTTCACGCCTCCGGACTAACGGAATTAAAGAGCTTCAGAAGGACTTTAAACCAGGGTTTTCCATTGTTGTTTAATGTCCTTCAGAATTTAACATTGTCAAATTGTTTCTCTGTTGAATAAAAATCTCTTTTGTTTTCTTTTGGTTTCTTACTACCATAAACCGCCAACCTTCCAACAACATTCTCGTAACAACATTATTGAGCGAAGCCATGCTTTCCTCGGTTTTCCCAAAAAGCTTCATCTTACACGCATGCGTCAGTTAGGGTCTTGCGCGTTCTATGACACCTGTCAACAATAGG